CTTGCGATCAACGTGTTCAAAAGTTTTGTCGAACGAAAATACCCTAAAATAAATCGCACGTAGTAAGTATACCATTCTATTGCTGTTTTAAACTACGCCGCTATGTGGTCCCATGTGGAATCTAACGTTAAAACACTTTGAGGTTAGATCGTGATACTGAATGTTGAGTCTGGAAACGTCGAAGAGACGACAATGTCGGCTGCGAAGCCCGAGATAAAGAACTGGAAAGAATACAATCGTAAACGGAAGGAACTTCGCAAACAATGGAGAGAGGAGAAGCTGATAAAGAAAACGAAAAAAGGAGGAGGAAAGCAAGAACGAAGCACAGGAACAGGTAGAGAAGAGTGACGTGAAATACGAGCAGAGGGACGTCTGCACCGTGAGCATAGCGGTGCCCGGATCGATTCTCGATAACGCGCAATCCCCGGAGTTGCGTACCTACGTGGCGGGACAAATCGCACGTGCCGCCTGCATCTACATGGTGGACGAGGTTATAGTGTTCGACGACAAAGGCGACGTTACGGAAGACGAGAAGCGGAAGATTAGAAAGGACGATGTGCTAGGCGAGGGTAGGGTCGGATGTCTGCAGTTAGCCAGGATACTGCAGTATCTCGAGTGCCCGCAATACCTGAGGAAATATTTTTTTCCAATTCATAAGGATCTGCAATACGCAGGCCTGCTGAATCCTCTGGATGCACCGCATCATCTGAGACAAGAGGCTGAGTCCCTGTATCGAGAAGGTATAGTCACCAATAAGCCTATAAAGCCCGGCAGAGGCTCCCAGGTAAACGTGGGACTGTTGAACGAAGTTCATGTGGATAAGGTGTTGATGTCTGGACTGAGAGTGACAGTGAAAATACCAGAGAATCAACAGAATCGAAAGAAATTAAAGGGCATCGTTGTATCACCCAATATCCCACGTGCAGAGACTGGTATTTATTGGGGTTATACTGTCAGGCTGGCCAAGAATCTGACAGAAGTCCTGATAAATTGTCAGTATAAAGGAGGATATGACCTGACAATTGGAACGTCTGAGAAGGGAATGTCGATTGATGAAATAGAAGCAAAAAGTTTAGAATATCATCACTGTCTCATAGTATTCGGAGGACTCGCCGGATTGGAAGCCGCCGTGGACGTGGATCCGCATTTAGATGTCGACGATCCGTCCCTGGTGTTTCATAAATACTTCAACACATGCCCACAGCAAGGATCGCGAACAATTAGAACAGAAGAAGCTGTTCTTTTGACTTTAGCTGAATTAAGGACTAAACTAGTGCCTAAAGAAATTACGAAAGATATTTTAGGAAAATAGTGAATGAAGAAGGTAGAAATAAATACATTTTTTTCTAAAGTTGGATTTTATCATTTAAGTGATACTGTATCAAAAATACACGAATCTTTATACATATATATTTATAGAAAATTATATCAAGTTTATTTTCATAGAAATATTTCATATTTACAGTATTTTCTCGTTGCTATTTTGAATGATTATGCTCCAAATAACAATTTACTGTGTCTCTGAGAGTCGTTATTACCTTAGCCTGATCAGCAGAACCTATGACTGCTGTGCCAGATACAATCATGTTAGCACCAGCCTGAAAAGTAACATAGTCGTAAAAACAATATATAACGCGAGCCAATTCTTAACAGAATTATTTATATATTTCAGTAAAAAATTATTTTGACTATTTACTTTTGCACAAGCTTCAATTGTAGCCGGCCCAACTCCTCCATCAACTTCGATATCTAATCCAGGATAATTCTCTCTCAACCATGCTACTTTTTTCAACATTGATTCCATAAACTTCTGCCCACCAAAGCCAGGTTCCACAGTCATTACTAAGATCATATCTGCCAAGTCCACATAATCTGTTACTATATTTACAGGTGTCCCTGGTTTAAGTGCCACGCCGACCTTTAAATTTATTCGTAATTCATTAATTAAATATGCATTATTTAACAAATATTAATTTCTACAGATAACTAACAAATCTAACAAATATGAATATCTACCTTCATTCCTGCTTCCTTTACTTTCCTACAAACTAATGGAACATCCTCTACTGGCTCTACGTGGAATGTGTACTGATCTACACCAGCATTAGCCATGGGTTCAATCCACTGTAATTATTCATTGAATCATTAATTTATGAGTATAAAGATCCGTATGTACTTTATCTATATTTTTAGAAAATAATTACGGAGTTATTTCGAATTTGCATACATACTTGCTCCGGATTGGATACCATCATATGTGTCTCGAAGAAGGCGGTTTTTATTTTACTACGAAGGCACTTGACGATAGGGTGACCGAACGTAAGATTAGGAACGAAATGACCGTCCATCACGTCTAGATGTAAATAATCTGCACCATTGTCCAACAACTTCTGTGATTCCTCGTGAAGCTGCGCCAGGTCGGCGTTCAAAATCGACGGGCCGATTTTCGCAGTCAGATTCGTTGCCATGTCGGGGATATTCAATACTATTCAACGCTATTCAATTGCTGCCTGAGATTGCTCCTAAAAAGAAAACTGCTTGAACACACACGTCGTTCCGCGCGCAAACAGATTAGGATAATAAAAATGTTCACGGCACGTTGCGCAAACGAAATCTCGCGTATCTGCTGTGATAACCCAGCCTAATCTATATTAATAGAAGAGAACGTCAATTAGGTTAGTTTTGACCTCTACCTAGCACGTGGTATTTGGTACGAAAATACAGAATACGGACGATTGCGTGGAACGCTAAATTTTTATCAATCATAAGATAGAATCATAATTTCATATTTATACATATATAGATTTATACAAGTTTAATATTCTTAAAACATTCCGATGGAGCTTCCTACGGAGAAGCTTGAAAATGAGACACGAAAATCATCCAAGCTCGGTTTATTTTTTGTCGCAGCTACAGGTTCGCCGTTTTATATTAATATCGCTTTTATAAGTAAATTTTATAAGTAAATTAAAATGCTGAGTTTAATAAGCTTATTTTACATGTATCATTATCCCGCACCGACCAGGCGGTATTGCGACAGCAATCAGTGTCGTGTGTTTCCCATTCGTGAGTCCTGCGTTTCGCAAGATATGTTTGCCATACGTGCCGGCTACGCGTCAGCAAATAAAGAACGTTATTCGAGCGTTGAACGGTCGCTCCGGTTCTCTGATTGATCTCGGCAGTGGCGACGGACGTATTGTGAGTATGATAATCGCAAACAAAAGTGCGAGTCATGTGCGAGGAGTACGTCACTAAAATGCAAACAATACAATCTTTCCACTCTTTTGCGAGACGAATGAGATAATTTATAAATAGGTTCTCGCGGCGGCGAAGCGTGGCTTCAAGGCACATGGTATCGAGTTGAACACCTGGCTGGTGCTGTATTCGAAATTTCAAGCACTGATCAATGGCTTGTCGAAGAATACTATGTTCCTCAAGCAGGATTTGTGGAAATGTCATTTAGGGAAATATGACAATATTGTCATATTTGGCGTAGATCAAATGGTATGTTCCTTAATATCCGTTGTAATTTTTGATGAAATGTTAAATCAGG